TTTTTGCAGTTTTTGGCTGAGGCTGGGTTTGAACCCACCACCTCTGGCATATGGGGCTGGTGCCCTACCTCTTTGAGCCACAGGCACCACCCAAGACTAGCACTTTTTAAGCTAGCACAAAAAGATGAGAATAAAATCGTCTACTTATTAGTGCTTCCTGTAATTCTGTGTTTCTTATTTTCTTTTTATTTTTATCATTACCATCCACTTAGGAGACATTACACATTTTTTCCCCTGATTTCCCTGCTCCCTCGTGGTATTTTATATCCAGCCACAGACGTGCTGGGCATCCATTTATCTACAGCATGGGTGTATCTCTCCTATTTACAAAAAGAGTAAATTTTTTTTAACTCCAAGAATCAATTTCCATACTTTTGTTGGTCATATTAACACTTAAGTGAGAACGTGTGCTCCAACGTTACGGAAATGCATCAGAGAAAACAGCCTTACATACAGGATCAGAGTGAAAGATGTGGGTAGACGAGGGCTGGCTCCTTTCTACAATGCTGGCTCCATCTCCAAGCAGTAGCACACAGGTGACCACCAGCTGGTCCTCTGTGTTAGAATTTGGCTCCCTGTGTATGTATGTGTGTATGTGTGTGTTTATGTGTATGTGTGTGTACATATGTATGTGTGTATATATGTAAGTATATGTATGTATGTGTGATATATGTATATATGTATATGTGTGTTTGTGTGTGTGTATATGTTTATGTGTATATGTGTATATATATGTATGTGTGTGCACATATGTATGTATGTATATATGTATGTGTATGTACGTGTGTGTGTTTATGTGTGTATGTGTGTGTATATATATGTGTATGTATGTATGTATGTATGTGTATGTGTACATATATGTATATGTACATATGTGTGTGTTTATGTGTATATGTGTATGTGTGCATATATGTATGTGTATGTACGTATATATGTGTGTGCTTATGTGTGTATGTGTGTGTATGTATATATGTATGTGTGTGTATGTATGTGTGTATATATGTATGTGTATATGTGTATGTGTGTGTGTATATGGATGTATGTGCATCTGTGTACGTGTGTATGTGTGTGTATATATGTATATGTATGTATATATGTATATGTATATATGTATGTATATGTATATATATATGTGTGTGTGTGTGTGTGTGTTTGTGTGTGTAAGCCTTTGCAACTGTGTACCATGCTTGTGTGTGTACATATAAAAACAATAACCATGAGCAGGAATGGGAGCCTCAGAAAGACAAACCAACAAATATACACCCCCATGAAATGCCTTTTTAGTTTTATTTTTTAATTATAATAAACACATCTTACTTTTGAAATGGAAATAGCTTTTTCTTAATTTACTGGTAATCACCCCATCTTCCATTATATTTACCAGCAATTTATTATTCCAATATTTGAATTTTATGATGAGGCCAACCAAGAATCATTTTCAAAATAAAATAAAACCTTGAGTAACCATTCAAGACGCCTGCAGGTATCCCGACCATCTAATGCACAGGGTCAGGGCCACGGGGTCTTCCCAGGGACCCCGGGGTTTCCTGACAAGTGCAACTGTTCTATGTCCTCCAGATACAAGTTCAGAAACCTCGATATTTTAGGCGCCTACCCTATATTACAAAATTTACACTTGCCTCTGAATTATCTCTTTAATTAATACAGTAAGGTTAAATGATACAGTTATCTTCCAATAATGCCTAGACAATTCTCCAAAACCTGCTATTATTTTTAAAAATCCCCTAACGGCATCTGTAAGAAACAGTGTTGATCTGAAATTAATTTGATTCTTCCAAATTTGACAAAATCAATTCAAGTATGGTGCTAAAATGTATAAATGGGAGGGAAATGACTTATGTCCTGTGGAATTCATACTGCATAATGATTTTTGTTTTCAAATTGTCTCTTATTTAACTCTTATACCGTAGTCCTGTATCTGCCCAGGTTTGATACATCAGGCTTTGTCTAGGAGAGAGAAAAATGCAACAGAAGAGCAGGGAGGCGGGGGGGGGGGAGGCAGGGAGCAAGCCCCAGGCTAACGCCAGAGCTGAGCCAACTGATGCCGACTTAGAGAGGAGGGCATATGGCAACCTAGCAGGTGCTTCCTTACCCCTCGCTGCTGCCTCAAACACTGCTGCTCCTGAGGACCGGGCACCGTGCCATATGTGCTCCTTTATTATTCTGCATCTACTCTGTGTACCTCCTGGCACACTGGGAGATTTTCAATAAATGTTAATTTAATTGATGGTCTTCATTGTCAACATTTTTTGCAACCCTGGGCTGCTTTGGCACCAGGAAAAGTATATCTTTTTAAACCGCTTTGAGAAGCCTGCCAAGGTTTTTTGAGAGAACTGTATCTCATCTACAATGCAACTAAGCTATTCATATTTAGACCTAAGTTCATCTTTTAAAATTAATTAGATACTTAATTAAATGTTAAACAAATCAAGCTGAAGGAGGCAGGCACAGGGATATTTTGTCTGCTAAAGTCAAATACTAACAACCCCCTCTTATGTGGTGGCTTGGCAGAGACTTATGCATGAGAATTGATAAAAATAAACAAAGCAAAAAAGCAATTCTTATAGCTATTACTATTGTTTCAAATCTTACAAGAAGGAAGAAGCCAAATTAATCTCATTGTGATCCTTCAACAACTTGGGTTTATGTTTTATTCCTGAGTGTGCAGAAGCGTTCCACTTTTTAAGAGTCTCATTATTCAGTGATCTATGTCTGGATTATTTTAGACACAGTTTGTAAACTTTTTACTAAAATTACTCTGTTTTGCCACATCAAGGCATGTTATAACAGATTTTAAAAATCAAAAGTGACTTACATTTGCTGAAAGTTGAGACGTTAGGGTAGCAACTTTTTCCTGGGATGCAACCAGTTCTCTCCGTAGTTTATGGATTTGCTGAATACAATCAAAACAAATAAATTCAATATGCTGGTAGATTTACACTTAAAAACAGGGATTCAATCCAGAAAAAGCAAACACCACATTTAGCTCAGTCTGTGTCCCCTCTGTTAGCACCAATCCCTGAAAATAAAGGAGGTATGAACCCTGCCCCAGAGTAATCAAATGGTACTTTATACTCGCATCTGCAAATCAGAGGACGCCTACTTGGTTCCATCTGCCCTCCCTACATGACTCAAGAAGCAGTTTACTTTCTCTGTTTATTATTCTTCCTCTAGAAAACCACAGTAGTAAAACTGAAGTAGAAAATTTTTGTAAAAAATAAATAAAACTATGAACATTTTCTTGATCTTTCAAAGCAAAAGGTAGACTCCATACTATTTTTCTGAAACATCTCAGGTTTTTTTTTTTTTTTTCTGTGTACTTTTAAATTTTCTACAGTTCAGCAACTTCTCAGAAGCTATACAATATCCTACAACAACTGAAACCAGTTGCGTTCAACATTTAATGAGGCTATGCTTGGAAACTGCATTGGCTGACATTTTATGACTAACAGATAAGCCTTCTGCAAAGTGTCTGACCCTTTATTCAGTGGGTTACTATTATCTCAGAGTAGCAATGGTTTATAGATTGTCCGCAGCTTATAAACAAAAGAAAGCAATGATAGTGAACAACTACTAATAATGAGATAAAGCAACAACACGGATACTCCAAAAGGGCTTTGCTTTCATACCCCAATAAAACTGAAACAGAAAAGATAATGGGGTGGCGCCCATAGTTCAGGGGGTAGGGCGCCGGCCACATACACCAAGGCTGGTGGGTTTGAACCTGACCGGGCCAATTAAAACAACAATGACAACTATAACAACAACAACAAAAAATAGCTGGGCATTGTGGTGGTCTCCTGTATCCCAGCTACTTGGGAGGCTGAGGCAAGAGAATCGCTTGAACCTAAGAGTTTGAGGTTGCTGTGAGCTGTGATGCTACGGCACTCTACCTAGGGTGACAGTTTGAGACTCTGTCTCAAAAAAAAAAAAAAAAGAAAGAAAGAAAGAAACAAAAAGATAATGGTATCATTTCCTGCTCTAAGTTTTAATTCAAGCTCTTTCTGCAGTTTCATCTGCATGTCTCAGGTTGCCATGAAACATAAACAGTGATTAGTAAGGGTAGCACATTTGGAATGATCTGAGATTAGGTTTTACAAGTGTGTTTCTGGTGCCAGGGGATTTCAGTTACTAAGATACCAAAACATCTATTATGATGCTTCCCAGTTCTTCAAAAACAAGTCTTCCATTGTTGTAGTTGAATTGTTGGAATGCTATCTCACTTTAAAAGAGCATTCTTCACATGGTTTATTTATTTATTTCTTTTTAGAGACAGAGTCTCACTTTATCACCCTCGGTAGAATGCTGTTGCATAACAGCTCACAGCAACCTCCAACTCCCGGGCTTAGGTGATTCTCTTGCCTCAGCCTCCCAAGTAGCTGGGACTACAGGCACCCACCACAAAACCTGGCTATTTTTTGTTGCAGTTTTGGCTGGGGCTGGGCTTGAACCCTCCACCCTTGGTATTTGGGGTTGGTGCCCCACTCACTGAGCCACAGGCACTGCCCCTTCACATGGTTTATGAACTGTCTTTTGGGTTTTCTTGCTCTTTGCACATTAGATTTCATGGAAAATGAATGGTGGTCAGTATTGAGAGACTCTAAAAAAGAAGCGACCTCTAAGCTATAAACAGAAATAGAAAACATTTATATAATTCCACCAAATATGATTTTATTTCATTCATCTTTTTTAAAAGGAGAAACACCCAAACCAAAATAATATTTGAGTTAAATTTATATGATGAATGTGAATAGTTTCTGAAATCAGAGCTACAGAGAATGACAAAAAACTGTATACACATTTTAAGAAAAGAAAAAACTGTATTATAATTCTAATAATATTTGCCAGTAACAAAGATGTATACATGTCACACTGAGCACCTCTTGTAATTGCAGAATTCAAACATGACTTGAGCACTATAAATTTAATACAGTTTTTTCCCTTCCTAAAATGCAGATACATATTTTTACACTTTCTATGTTTTATTCCTAAACTAAAAAAACCTCAAAAAAGCCTTTCTCAAATTAATAGCCTCTGTTATATAATTCCAGTTGCTTTAAAATACAATCTAGGGAACTGCAAAGTGACTTAGATGTTTTGTTCAAAAACATGACCCATGATAATAAATAAATGATAAAAGTAAAGTTGAATAACTACTAAAAATGCAGTGAGATATAGCATTTCTATGCATAAATAGCTTTATTAAGATCAATGTTAGATGTTGATATAAATACTGATATAAATAATATAGCTCACATTTAAAATAATAACACTTATACTTTGGCCCAGCAATTTTAAAGATGAATTGGTACAATCAATACTCTGGGGGATTTTTTGCAGTTTTTGGCCAGGGCTGGGTTTGAACCCACCACCTCTGGCATATGGGCACCTCTGGTGCCCTCCTCCTTTGAGCCACAGGCGCCGCTCGTATAATCAATACCTTTTCAATATTTTTAAGCAAAGCACAATTTTTCACTTTTTTATTTTATTTTATTACTGTTGTTTTTGAGATAGAGTCTCACTTTGTCATCCTTGGTAGAGTGCTGTGGCATCATAGCTCACAGCAACCCAACCTCAAACTCTTGGGCTCAGGCAATTCACTTGCCTCAGCCTCTCGAGTAGCTGGGACTACGGACATTTGCCACAATGCCCCACTATTTTTATTTTTAAGACACAGGGTGTTGCTCTTGTTCAGGCTGGTCTTGAACCTGTGAGCTCAAGCAATCCACCCACCTCGGCCTCCCAGAGTGCTAGGATTATAGGCGTAAGTCACTACACCCAGCCCCTCAAAGCACAATTTTTACTTTAAATGGCTAATAAAATAAGATTTCACAGGAAAAAAGTTCCTTTGCAAAAGCTGTTGCTAAGTCACGTATTTTCTCTGTGGTCTGACTGCCTCAATGTAAACCAATCAAATAGTCATTAACTCACTTGGAATAAAGTCGTAATTAAAGTCCTCCTGCTCTCTTTGGCCAGGACAAATCTTTTACAAAGGAAAAGAAAAAGAATACGCTCTCCAGGTTGCAGTTTGATTTGCATGATTACAATGAAGTATGTATTTGTGAAATGTGTGCAATTAGAACAATAGACTACACCAGACATAAAATAGTGATTAGAAACAGCAAGGTCATGGCACTATATTGATGTTCTGGGATGCTGGTTCTTAAAGTGGCCTCGTGCCTAAGGTTTAATAGTTTTGTTACTTCTATGCAGATGGTCTCACAGGTAGAGAAGAAAATCTTGTAGTAATGTAGGCCTTCATTCATTCATCAGTGCTTTAATGAGTACTTACTACTAGAGATAACTTATGGGGTGTGGAGCTAATAATTTAGAATGTGAAGGTATAGCTTGCAGTCAAAACTTCTTTTCATTTTATTTTAAGAGGCATTCTCAAATGTTACTTGCCAAGTAGCTGCGCTCCTTCAGCAGCCCTGTGGAGCTCTGCTATTGTATCACAGAGCCCTCTAGTGGTAACAATGTTAATTTCATCATAATTATAAACTAAAGTAAATACTAAAATGTTACAGGTTATTTTACCTCTGAATGTGCCTTTTCTTCAGCCTGTAAAAAAAAAAAAAGAAAGAAAATAGAATTTAATTATAAAGACTAATTTCAATTAATTCCACAAGTACAAATGAATAAAATAATGATGTGTATTTAAACTATGATCTGACATTAGAAGAATAGAGTGAAATAAGTTATTTAATTAAAATACCAAAAAAAGAACACTTTAAAATAAAAATCCATTCGTACATAAATCAATAAGTATGTAAAATATAGGTAATTTGATCTATAGGTATATAATATGCCTTAAAAGCAAATGATAGAATTAACATACTCTAACATCTAAACTAGAGCAAGAAAAACAGTTGGAAAATTCTACACTAAAAAAGATGGGTCCATATATAGATAAAATATGAGATTATTTTTATACGGACGTAGGAAATAGACTCCATGAAATTATAGTGATCTCTAGCCAACATTTAGGAGTCAGAATTTTATCTGTCATTTACTGATCATAAAAAAATGTCATATAAAGATGAGGGGAAAAAAACCTAATCTCTACTGATAACCACACAAAATCAACATTATTATTTCTGTTTTTTTTTTCCTTTCCCTGATAATTATTATTTAAGTTTATTGGGCTACAAAGTCAGCAAAACGCTAAAATGCCCAGTGTTAAAGTGGTGATAAAAGTGGCTGACAGTTGTCTCTGGCTGTGGACATGAGGGTTGCCATAGGAACTTGCAGGGTATTGCAGAAAACTCTCCCCTTCTTCTTCATTCTGGGCTGTAAAATGCCAGAAAATGAGTTACGTGTCCCATTAGTTTTGGGAACCTCAGTCATACGGGGAAGCCGGAAAATACACAATATCATTGAACAGTACAAGTCTGCTTATTGGCACAAGCTGAAAAACAATTTTTTATCGCCCATCTCTACTTTGGGGAGATTTCCAGATAACTTGATGCAAAAGGGCCTGAACTGCTTTTTATCTCTTTCCTTTTAGAAAACATCCAACAAAACAAAGCAACATAAACCTCAGGACATATTTTATGCATAAACAAGTCTTTCAACCTGAATTTTGTCTTTCTTATATCTTTCCTGCCTTTTCACAAACTTCAGTAACATGGTGGTTACTTCTAACTCTATCTTTTCCTTTTTATTCTTTAGTTTATACAAGGATTCACAAAGGCAATTTTATCCAAATATTGCCACTGTATATATATTTAAAATATGATGATAGTGACGCTGCCATCTTTAAAGATTTAAATTGCAATGGTTTCAGTCACAACGCAACTCCCCAACAAGTGGGAGTATTGGCCCAGGAGGAGGAACAGTAAACCTTAACACATTTCTTCTATATTTTTTTCTAGTACATCTTTATATTCGTCACTTCTTTATCCATTATACTTATTTATCTGAAAACTAAAAGTGATTTATTAATGTATAGTACTGGTAAATTTAATCATTAAAAGGAGAAATAAGAGAAATATTGCCAGTGCTAATGATAGTCTGATCTAGAGTGAGTAGATGTCTAAAGCAGTAAGTCTGTAGGACTAACTTATACACAAAAGGCTATCCAATTTTAATCTAATGAAAATGAGTACAAAAATTAGTATTGCCCTAATGCTTAACCAATTAGTGACATTCAAAGGTACAACCTTTTAATGAAGCTTTTAATACAAGATGAAGGATTATCCATAACACTCAAGCCTCACTGAGATATAGCATATACCTCACTGTCACCCAACCATAAAGGGATCCTCTCATAAAACGTAACTTCTTATAGGGTACTTTAAAAACAAAAAAAGATGAAATTACATTCAGTGGGCAGAAAAACCCATCTTGTCAAAAAATAAACTATAATTTCACACATTGGCAAAAGGAGTTGAAACATTGGCATTCTTCTCTTAAGAAAGTTTTAAAGATCACACTGTATATCAAAAGACATATTTTTAAAAATACCCATCTAGTTCTTTTAGGCCTTCACTGTTTGGCACAGTCTTCTCAGAAAATGAATTCAAAAGTAAAAATTAAAGAAGAAATAATACCACAGAACAATTAACAGTCTTGGTTCAGAGAAACAAGGAAGGGAAACTAGTCCATATTATGAAAATTAGAGTATAACACAGTATACGGTGTCAGGGACTCCAAACCATACCCCAATAGGTTTTATGAAATTCAGTTATGTCCATTCATTTGTTACAACAAGTGCACAAAAGTCAGATGAAAGCAAATATAAGAGGGGCCAAGATGGCGGGGAGCACCTGCCAGACTGTCTATGGGGTAGCTGAGATTATGCCCTTATTTTACTGCACAACGTCTGTGTAATGTCACAGAGCTATGTGCTCTATTAACAGCAAAATGATCGACTTAATCATCCGTGTGCATGGCAAAAGTAGAAACTTCTTCTTAGCAGCCAGTACTTACTGTAGAGTACAGAGAAGAAGTGCTGGAGACCAGTGATAAGGAGGAGCCATGAACTGGAGAAAAGAAAGAACAGCAGAGTTAAGGAACGTGTCTACTCCTGGGCCTCTACTGGAAACGTGAGAACAGGGAGGGAAATAAAATAATAACATCCAACTGCAAGATTCTAGGGAAAAAATATGGCTGTAATGACCTGGATTCAAAATGGTGAGACATGGAAAAACCCCACACATACTTCTTAAAGTACCTCGTTCACCAAGTCCTAGAGAGAAACTGAGAAGCGGGTGGCTGGGATCCAGCTGGTCCCTGGTAGGACAACCCTGAGTCCGGCCAGCTTGTTTTGCATGTATTGAAAGCTACAGTAAACTCCCAAATGATACAGAGACAATTATGGAATATCAAGCCAAAGTCACCATAAACTTTAAACTTAAAAAAGTGTTACAAATTTTAGTTATTTCATTTTTATACAACAAAGGTCTATTTTCAGAATTCTATCTATGTCCATTCATGGAAATAAGCAATTTTATTTAAATCGCTATTTCAACATTATCAGTGAAGCACTGATAATACTCTTATAAGTGTAGAATTATTGTTTCTTTTTTTTT